AAAAAAAAAAAAAAAGAGAGGAAATGGTAGAGTGAAGCTTAGGTGCATTTTCATGGTGTTGATCCATAAGGCTGGAATTGTGTTTAGACTGGGGGCTCCGGGGTCAGGCAAATGCTGAGCAACAAACTGTGAACAGCCTCAGTGTCCAGCAATAGGGCCGGTCTTCCCGAGTGGAGGGCGCCACACAGCTGGTGCACACAGAGGACAAGGACATGTTGAGAGGGGCAAAGGCATAGTGAACAGAGGTGGAATGTAAGCTACACTTTTATTTAGGAGAAAGAAGGTTGGGGGATTATGGGTATTTATATATTTTTTTATAAAGTGTAAAGAAACAGACACCAAACTCCTAACAGGGAGGGCTGGGTGTTCCCTTTCTGTCGTGTATACATTCTGTATTTTGGTGGTACTTGAATGGCTCATGGGACCACACTACCCGATTTTTAAGGTAGGACCCCAGAACTCACACCCATTCTAGAAACAGGCAGGGCCAGGCCCACATGCTGCACTCTCCCTCCTCAGGCCCAGATGATCTTCCTCAACTGTGGCCATGTCTGCTGCTGCCAGCAGTGCTGCCAACCACTGCGCACCTGCCCGCTGTGCCGCCAGGCCATTGCCCAGTGCCTCCGGATCTACCACAGCAGCTGAGCACTGCCAGACGCCTGCCGGGCCAGCCTTCCGGCCCCACCTCAACCCCTGCAGGCCCGGGGCACCTGCTTACCCCAGGTTGGCCAGACTGGTACCAGGCTACTCTGCCTCAGGGCCCTTCCCCACAGCTGGGGAGCCCCACCTTGAGCTCCAAACATGCCTTGGCCAGGTGGGGATGCCCCCGACCCATGGCATTGCTGGTCTGAATACTGTAGACCAGAGAGAGGGGCCTGCTGGAGCCAACAGCTCTAGGCTACACCCCTACCCTGTGTCTTGGCCAAGGTGTGGCTCTGCCCCATCCCAGCTTTAAGGAGCTCAGGGTCCCCACCTGCGGAACATGCTTGGTGCCATCACTCTCTGCACATGGAGGGCGAGCAGGAGATCCTTGGTTGGGCATGAGGCGTGGTCACTGGGAAGGTGTGCAGCGCAGGTCTGCTCACAAGTGGCACCAGCCCCACTGGGTCCCCCTCTCTGCTCTCACCAGTGTACTGGGCTCCTCACGCTCCCCACAGCTGCGCCCTCACCCCATGCAGCTGACCCAAAGCAGGAACTTCAATAAATCCATCTCAGCGTCTCCTTCCCGAGTCATCACTGGGTCTTCATGGGAGCTCAGGAGGGGTGGGGGGTAAGAGTGTGCTACTCCTAGAAAGAGAGGGAAAGGCTAGAGCCATTCCCGAATGTTGGGTCATCCCAGCCTCCCCTTGCTACAGGTGGACAGACCAGTCCCAGAGCAGAGCAGGGCACCTGGAGGAGGGGTAACAGCAGGGGCATCTGTCTCCACAGCAGATGGCCCTGTGGGCTTGGGCTGTGCACCTTCTGTATGGTCATATCCCAGGGCCAGGGGGTGGTAAACACTCGGGGCCTCACAGCTTGCTTTGGGGCCCAGGAGTAGCCCAGCTCTGAGTCTGCAGCCCACGGGTTGTTCATTGCAGTCCTAGGAGCCATGCACACCACTGCTGTAAAGGCACGTGTACACCTGTTTTGGCAGGTGGTCTTGAGCCAAGGGTGGTCTTTTCTCTGGGCCAGTGGCAGGCCTGCTCTTGGGGCATAGTCTCTGCCTCTGGCTCACACCCCCACCCTGTCCAGCCTTTGGGCCTGTTTCCCATGTATTTGACACAGGATATGATGGGTCCCTGACTTAGGCTGGCCTGCAGGGGGTGCTGAGGTGCAGCATGCACAAGAGCAGATGGCTGTGCAAGGCCTGGGTTGGCAAAAAGCTCCCCCCAATCCAGGCCTGTTTCCTACCTCACTAGGACCATCTTTGTCAATGTCACATGGTTCCAAGCAGGGTGCGAATGCCTTTTGTAGTGTGAGTCCTGCTCCCCAGGGCGGGGCTGGTGCCTCTTTCTGTGTAGAACCCCAAATTCAGGCAACCAAAACTAAACTGTGGTGTTTTGGAGATAGAAAAAGGTTTATCTGATTTGGCCAAAGCAGGAAGACGGGAGGGCAAAATCTCTGAGGTCTTTCATCACAAAAGGATGAAGCAGGGAGGTCTTATGAGGTGAGGGGCGAAGGAGGCTGTGGCAGGTGGTGAGGGAGGGGGACATTCGTGTTGTCTTTAGTCAGATAACACCTTGAGTAACCAGACTTCTGGAGGTCAGCAGTTAGTTGCAACATTTTTAAGGGTATTTTTTTTTTTTCAAAACAAATGTAGAAATTTTTCTCCTGACCCTCTTTCTGCTTGATAGCGAAACAGCAGATCAGCAGTTCATAACTGCGCGGGAACAGTGGGTGCTGGGCAGGAAGCTAGTGGTCAGCATGTGTAAGCAAACAAAGGCCTACTGAGATTGTATTTCAGTCATTAAACAAATGCCAGGATACTAAAATCTCAGGCCACATTCACACCTGGGAATCTCTGGTCCCCCCACCAACCCCACAACACCCTCCAGGGCCCAGCTTGCCAAGAGGAAGACCTAGGACTGAGGCAGGGCTACTTCGGGGAACAGTGTTTGTGGACCCCCTGGGTCCCCACTAGGACCCAGGAAGCAAGGACAATTACTGGCTTTATGAAAGAGTTCAAGGCTCTGTTAGTGACTTGCCAAGGGCAGCAGTAAGGTGGCAGTTGCGCCTGGTCTCCGGCCCCTCAGCCTGTCTCGCCCCAGCCCTTGGTGACTGGGAGAGGCTCAGGCCCAAGCCTTCAGCCACGATTCAGCTGGCACAAGGGAAGCACATGTACCCCAAGGTGACTGGCTACCACCCCACCTGATAGGGACATGTTTTTACCTGTAAGTGGGGCAACCCACCCCCACCAACTGCCAGGGGGTGCCAGGGTGTCCCTGTGCCACCTGACCTCAGCTAAGGCTCCCCACCCTCCTAGGTCTCAGTATGCACATGAAATGGTGAGGATGACAGCACCCCTTCCTAGAGCTGCTAGGAGGCTCCTGGTCCCACAGATAAAGTGCCCTAAAACTGCATGTGATTGGGGGTCTTAAAAGAGCTGCTGGCACTGTTTAGACCAAGCATGACGCTGGGTCAGGTCCTGGGGCTGCCTGAGGAGCACCTGCACAGGCCTGGCTGGGGAAGCTGCCTGCACTGCCGGCAGAAGGCTGTTCACCTTGGACAAGTCCCTTCTCTCTGAGCCTCAGTTTCTGCCTCTATAAAATGGGATAATGTAAGAACTTTGACTCTGGGCCTCCAGGTACTCACTCAAGTGATGAATCAGAAAGCCGAGGTGTAAGGGACCAGTCCCCAGCCCAGGCCTCCCTGTTTCCCACACAGGCAACTGGATTTAAATAAAGCATTTATTGATTAGTAGAAGCTTAAACAGTTTGCATAATATTTTCAATACAATATCTGGGAAGGATGATCAGAAACCCTTGAAGGCACTGTAACTAGAGCATCTGGAGACAAAGTGTCGGTAGGAGAGGTTAGTGACATGGCTGACACCAAGGCTGGGGGGTTGAGGGTCCCTGAGTACCAGCCAGTCACCACACATTCTGTGGATCTAAGGCCCCCACCCTGGGGAGCAGGTCTGAGGGATGGAGGGTCCAAGGCGGGGAAAGGGACCCACTCAGGGGACCTTGAAGGAGTCAGCTTCTGCCCTGCCTCTTCCCCTCACAGCAGTAGGGGATTCTAGAGGGGGAGCTACCAAGCTGGGGCACCTCGGCTTGACACCCAACCCCAGATTTAGGAAGCTACGAAAGGGATGATGGCCAGGCCCAAAGTGACTCCCAGGACATCTGAAGAGGGGCCTGGAATTTTCAATGGGAAGTGACCTGGTGACTCACAGGCAGCAGAGGCCAAGCCACAGCCTGACCCCAAATCCTCCAAGAGGGTCACCGGTGATGTCTTGGAGGCCACAGTCTATCCCTCTGACCCTCAGGAGCTCCCTCTGCTCCCTGGGGGCAGTGAGTACCTTAGAGTGGCCCTGAGGACGGAAACCACTAAGCCCTGCCTTCTGCTCTAGCCCAAAGCACGAGTGTTGGCACAGCAGAGTTGGGAAACAGGGGATCCTGGGGACCTGCAGGCCTCGGGCAAGAGGGAGGGGACAGGCTGGGCTAGCAGGAGAGATGGGGCCCACAGGGGCCCTCACCTGGGCTTCCAGCAGCCCTAACTCCACTACATCAACGTTGGCCTCACTCACACGCCCCCAGCATCTCCCAGAAGTCAGCTCCCTCCATCCCTCAGGACACTTCCCCTCCACACACCAGCACATTCCGGCCTTTCTCATTTCATCCCAGGCCCCTTGCCCACCCATCTCTGACAGACAACCCCTACCACCAATCCCTCCCCCAGGATTCCTAGTCTGGCCACCCCCCTTTCTATTTCTCCTCCCCCACATCAGGAAAACAAGGCTTGTGTCCACTTTGAGGCCAGGGAGCAGAACAGAGCCAGAGACAGTGCCTCAGACTCCATCTTCCTTGTCCCTGCCCCTGGGTGAGATCGGAGCGATTCACTGCCTTCACAGCACATGACGCTTTTTTTTTTTTTTTTTTTGAGGCAGGGTCTCACTTTGTCGCCCAGGCTAGATAGAGTTTCAGTGGCATTATCATACCTGCAACCTCAATCTCCTGGGCATCCAGGTGTGTGCCATCATGCCTAATTATTCTATTATTGTAGAGATGGGGTCTTAATGTGTTGCTCAGGCTGGCCTTGAATGCCTCTCAAGTGATCCTCCCACCTGGGCCTCCCAAGGTGCTAGAATTACAGGTGTAGGTGTGAGTCACTGTGCCCGGCCTACACATGATGCTTTTACCTCCATCTCCAAGAAGGATGGCAGGACTCACAAGGGAAACAGAGGACACAGACAGGCAGGGCAGAGCTTCCAGACCCCTTCAGCTGTGTCCAGCCCTAGCTTAAGGAGGAAAGCCCCAAAACCAGACCCTGCATCCAGGATCGTCCCACAGAAGAGAAAATGAGGAGTAATAAAGTGTTGACCAAACCCAATAAAGTGACGCTGGTGGGCTCATCCCTGCCTGACCCTTGCAGATGGCACACCAGCCCCTGCCCACCTCCACCACAAGGCACAGATTGGGGTGGCCCCTCCCTAGAACTGAGGCTGCCTGTGCCTTAGGGGGGTGTCCTGTGCACCATGTCCAGCAGAAGTGTGGGGACTGGCTGATCTAGAACTCCGTCTGTACCCCTGCACTGTCCTCAGTGGTGATGTGGATGGGGGGGCGGCTGCCGGAACTGGACACCTGCTCCCCAGTCTCCTGGTCACTGGGCTTGGGGGGCTCCAGGTCCACAGCCTTCCCAGGTGGGAGATGCCGGGGTGAGGTGGGTGGTGAGGAGGCCTCAGGGACTGCCGAGAGCTGGGGGCTCTCCTGAGTGGGAGCCCCGTTAAGCAGGGGACCAGCCAGCAGGGGGCTCTCAGCCCGTAGATCCTGGGCCAGCAGGCCACGGAGCTCAGTGACACTGTCTGGGGACGCAGGGGATGGTAGCTCAGGACCAGCTGCAAAAGGCAGCCCTGCCTCCTCATCTTGGACAACGGAGACCACCTGCTTGGCACGCCGTCGCTTTTCCGAGAGAGGGGCTGCTTCCTGGGCACCTGGGCTGGGGCTGCCACTGCCTCCACCACTGCTGCTGTCACCATACTCTTCGCCCCAGTCGATGGGTGCTCCCTCAGCCAGCAGGTGCAGGTTGGGGTCACTGTTGTGCATGACCATGCTGTCCCGATACAGGTTGTGCTTCCTCTGCACCGCAGCCTCCTTCACAGCTGCAGGGCCACAGGGGGAGGGGCGGGAAGCTGAGAGGCGGCACCACAGCCACCCCCATGCCTATGTCCAGATGGGACCTGCCTCATCCCCCTGTGGGTGTCTGTGACTGGGACATGAGTCATTCCAGGCCTCACTGCTGAAAGCAGCAGGGCTGTGATGATAACCCTAGCCCAAGCTGGTGATGCTGTGTCATCCTGTGTCTCATCTGCCCCTCCCTGCAAAGCCAAGAAGCTGAAAAGAGATGTGAGGCCACCCTCCTGGGGCCAGCCGCCAACAGCGGGCTTAACCCAGCCTATGGAGCATACGGCTTGGGCTTGTCTTTGCACCTCACCTGACCCCACCAGCGGCTACCCCCATCTCCTTCTAGCAATAATAATCCCAGTGGCGGTGGCAGCAGGAGTGGCTGCCCCCTGAGTCC